CCCCCCACCCCACCCCCTCCACACACACACATACACACACACACATACACACACACACAGAGGATGCTTTCCTGTAGGATGCAGGTTTCTGATTATGGGCATATTAAATGGGGACAAAAGTATTTCTGTGGATTTTTTTTAAAATAATAAACTTTTCTAATTTACACAGAGCTTAAATTTCTAATGTGTTGTTTATTTCTTACTTGTTCACTTTCATCACAAAGGGATTCAACTGTTTTGTGTTGTTTTTTACTAATCTGCACGTTCCTTTTTTAATCCCATTTCGTAAAATGTGTTAATGTTTTTCAACTCAAAAACAACCCTACCCATTTCAATTAAACTTAATGATGTCATGATGGCTGTTAAATTATATATGAAAACACATTAAGACTCAGTAACTGATGACAGATTACATATATTACGTATATTAAAAGGGATAACAGCTCTTCATTTTGGTAAGAAAAAAGCTATTTATCAGAATAATACATTCGAATCTAAAAGCATCATTAATCATTTCAAACTGATGGGATGGTAAGGGCTTACCTTAGATCAGTATTGTGAAACCTGTAGCTCTAAAAGCATCATTATTCATTGTAAACTTCATGCTTTTGTAATTACTTTTGAATTGTTTATGGGATGATATCAGCAATGGACATGTTAAGAAACAACAAAACTCCCATCTCGGTTCCAAAATCAAAAAAGGTTGCTTTATTCAATTTCATTCAGATATTTATTACCAATTGCTAGTCAAAATAACATTTTTTCATGTGTACCTTTTTTACTTTCTGCTGAAAATCTCTGGAAGATAACTCTCACACACAATGAATGGCAACACATCTTATACTTTCTTCATTCAAGTATGTTTGAATAGAGTACTGCCACAGTCACTCGGCTTTGAACCCAAATAAACCATTATCAATATGGTGAGGGCTTACGTTAGATCAGTAGTGTGAAACCAGAAGCTCGAAAAGCATCATTTATTTCAAACTTTATGCTTTTGTGAATACTTTTGAATTGTTTATAGGATGGTAAGGGCTTATAGGAGATCAGTAGTGTGAAACAGGAAACTCGAAAAGCATCATTTATTTCGAACTTCATGCTTTTGTGAATACTTTTGAATTATTTATGGGATGGTAAGGGCTTACATTTAGATCAGTAGAGTGAAACTGGAAGCTTAGACTAATGCAGCGTATTACATTTTATTTTGCAGTGTTTCCTGTAACTTTCTGTTGCACAGTAGCATTTTCAAATTTATTAAAAGTTTTTCCTGGATTATTGTACCACCAGCGTAGGCGCTGGCGGTACCCATGGTTTTAGTCCCGACCCGTATGTTCCGCCGGCTCCGCTGGCTCCTGCGGCTCCGCCGGCCCCTGCGGCTCCGCCGCCAAGTCACCGTTACCGCTTCTCCTCCTAGACGATAAGGGTTCCCGTACCCATCTCTTGGATTTAGGCCACCTATAATCTCAACTCGTTCCACGTAAAATTTGGGCTTTGTCAGTATTGGGGTCTAGGTGTGGCACTCATTGCAATGCACCCTTGTCTAAAAATGGCAAAATTAAATGCTAATTATCTACCCTACGGAAGGAGTTATGGGAAAATTTTCTACAGACGGCTTTCCAAAAGTCATATGTGTAGATTTCAAATATGCCCTTGGATTTGACCTTTGACCTTTATTTCAAGGTCAAATGGGCCAAAATTTTCAAAAAAATGAATTTTTTTACGAAAAAAAAATTTTTTGCCCTGTTATTCAGACACCACACATACTTAACCAATTATATTATTGGAAACTGTTACCCTTTGGGTCATCTTTCATCTCCGTGAATTTGGGGTCATTCGGTGCATTTTCACGGGAGTAGCGGCCATAA